GGAATGCAGCTGATCAATACAATGCAGCTGGACCATCAGCAGCACCCGGGGAGGTGATGTGTTTGTGTCCCAGCTATTGCCCAAGAGGAAAAAGATGGGGTCTGCATTAGAGCCCAGGCTTCTGCAGGTAGATCGGGGCAATCCCTGCTGTAATAATACAGCTCCCCATGGAAGGAGAACCTAATCTAAACCCTGCCAAGCCTGTAGTAAAGAGCAGGAATATATTTAGGGATCAGCGGTGGTGGATTTGAGCAGGATTATTTATTACCACTTGGTGCCAGTGCTTTTCAAGGAGCCAAGCCTCAGAAAATGTCAGCAGTCAGTAAGAGAGGTGTCACTGAGGTTGGTGTCTCTCAAATTGCCTTCCTAAATGCTGATACTGGAGCATGAAAAATGTTCTCTGAAAGGCATCACTTTGACAGCAAACAAACCTGAGCAGCCAAAGCCATCAGCAGTAACAAGTGATGAGATGTGTGTGCTGCATAGCTGCTGTGGTAGGGAAAAAGGCCTGATTCTGGTTTTCCTGTTGAGAGATTCCTGAAATGGGGTTGCTTTATTGCCCCTTGAATCAGACAGCCCATCGTTTCTGGTGGCGTTATAGCTTTGTTAACGCCTGCAGTCCTAAACGTGCTTCAGGGGCTCGTTTCAGACTCCCTGTTCTGTTACAGCCATTGCTGATTCCCACTCCAGCCCCCCTTTTCTGCAGAGTACAAATGAGAGGACTGGAACCTCTTGTCTTCAGGAGCCTTTAGGGCATGTACAGGGAATACCTGGGTTTGTGTTATTAAGTCACCATGTCCACACAAGGGAACTCCTGACTTCACAGTCTGCAGAGCAATGGTGGTGTGTTGGGTATGAACAAGGAAGAAAATGGAGTGCTAAGGAACACAAATGTCCATAGTCTTGGAATGTTGGGGCCTGGCTGTAGGAATTGAGTTGGGTGTAAATCCATCTAGAATGGGTTCTTGGTAGTTTTTAACCATAACTGTGGTCAGTCATCGTGAACAAGAGCTGCACAGTGAGATGCCCACGTGGCTCCTATCATGGCTTTTCTGAAGGAAAAAGGTTTGGGAAGATCCTAGAGCCATCAAATGGTTTGGGCTGGAAGGGACCCCAAAGCTCATCCAGTTCCAACCCCTGCCATGGGCAGGGACACCTTCCACTAGAGCAGGTTGCTCCAAGCCCCTGTGTCCAACCTGGCCTTGAACACTGCCAGGGATGGGGCAGCCACAGCTTCTCTGGGCACCCTGTGCCAGCGCCTCAGCACCCTCATAGTAAAGAATTTCTCATAGTAAAGGACTAAAGAAGATGAATACAACATTCTTTGATAGCTGTTGAGGACTGGGTCGCTTGTATAAAGGCACTAGGGTTGCACAGGATGTGTTGTTTCCCCCCACTGCCAAGGCCCTCTACTCCATTCACCACTTTGCTGCTCACCAGACTGGCTTGCTCCTGCCAAGCTTTGCATGATCTCTTCCCCACGTGTTCAGTGCAAAGCCAGCATGGGTGCATGGCAACTCCTTCCACTTTGAACGCGGGTGCACAGCAGGTCACGAGCACACGGTGCTTCCGTAACAAATGGACCAAGAGCTAACATGAGCGATAGCGTTGAGGATGCGTTTCTGCTGCAGGCTTTTTAACTGGTCTCTGATTGCTACACATGGTTTGGGTTTGGTTTGGTTGGTTTTGGTTTGGTTTTTTTCCTGCTGAATTTTATTAATATTGTTTTTCTTTTTTCCCTTCTTTTGGTAAATTTCTTTAACCTCCCCCCACATTCTGCTCAACCATAGCCATGGAGGGTAAGCAGCGCGCGAGCGTGTGTGTACGTGCCCTATCCCAAAGTGTCTCTGCATGTGACTTTGCCAATGACTGTTTTAACTCCTCGATTGCTGAAACCAATGAGAATCACAGCCTTTCACTGGTGATTGGGGCCATTACAGGGCTCTCCTTCCTAAGGTATATTGGGATCAGTAATACACTAAGATTGAACCTCTGTAATAATTGTCAGTACCCACTTTGTAAATGCCATGACATGGAACCACCATGCACTGAGTCCTGCGCTCCTGCCTTAGGCAAGGTTTCATCCATATATGTTATAGTTTCATCAGGGTAGCATCTCAGGTGCTTCCAGTGAAACAGCTCTGTAGTTAGGGCCACTTGGGGTGGATCTCACACCACCAGGGTGGATGGGCACTGTGGGACCAGTAAAAGAAGCAATTAATTCTTTAACGTTCTGCTCCCACCAAGCACTTGCTTGAGCAGCTCCAAGTGGTGAAGAGCTGAAGGGAACTGGGGTGCTCATGGTTTTCTAAGGGAAGTTTTCTGTCTCTTTTCTGGCCCAGGATTATTTTGGTCTGTGTTGGATTTAACTCCAGACAGATCTGACTCAGTGGGAGCTCTGCATAAGAACTACAGCATTTTTAACCTGTCGAGGTGTTTTTCTGATCTATTGGAAGCAAACTGTATGAAACCATTTGGTGTTTCCCAGCTGTGCTGGTGACACCAGCTTTGTTAACCTGCTGGGAATTTTCACTGAGAGAACAATCATACGCACTGCGATACTCTCTCTGTACTGTATCATTATGTTAACTGTGCCCTGATGTTGTTCTGGAGCACAAAACATCCTGGAGCAAGGAGCCTCATACCTGTTGCCTTAGCAGTGGAACTGTCCATCAGTAGTGAATCATAGCATCATAGCATGGTTTGGGTTGGAAGGGACCCCAAAGCTCATCCAGCTCCAACCCCTGCCACGGGCAGGGACACCTTCCACTAGAGCAGCTTGCTCCAAGCCCCTGTGTCCAACCTGGCCTTGAACACTGCCAGGGATGGGGCAGCCACAGCTTCTCTGGGCAGCCTGGTTACCCCTTAAACAGGTCAAGTGCTTTGCGCTCCTTGTTCCTCAAATTACTTTGATTGTTCAGGGAAGTCCTGGTAGAAGTCCCCCAGTGTCATTCCAAAGATGACGTTCAGTCAGAACTAAAGGAATCTTCCTTCAGACCCGGGTTCGAGCGCACTCATCCAGTGCAGGAACACAGCGGGATCGGGTGGGGGCTGTTGGGAATGTGAGGCTTTCCCGGTTGGGAAGTTGCTGAGCCCCATCTGCTGGGCACAGGCGGTTGAACATCCCCTTGTGCTTCCAGATCCAGCCGCAGGAGATCAGCCCTCCTCCCACCGCCAACCTGGACCGCTCCAATGACAAAGTGTACGAGAACGTGACCGGGCTGGTGAAGGCCGTCATAGAGATGTCCAGTAAGATCCAGCCCGTGCCGCCGGAGGAGTACGTGCCCATGGTGAAGGTACGGAGGCAATCCCTGAAATCCGTGGTTTGTTTCTCCCCTGGATGAGGTCCTCCAGTGGCTTAGGAGAAACTTCCTGACAGCTGGAAGTAAAAGATCTCTGTGTGCTTATGGGGCTGGAGCTTTTAGTGTTAACGGTACTGTAGGCAGTGGTGCTTCCATTCTCCACCTTGCCTGTGCTTATCCAGGGGCTGTGAGTTGTGCATCATCTTAGAATCGTAGAATCATAGAAGAGTTTGGGTTGGAAAGGACCTTAAGATCATCCAGTTCCACCCCCCCTGCCATGGGCAGGGACACCTCACGCTAAACCATGTCACCCAAGGCTCTGTCCAACCTGGCCTTATCTTCTGTGTTTCTTTCTAATTGGCCCTTTGATGTCTGGTTAATGGGGAAACACAGATTTGAGAGTAGGATTTGAAAGTCTCTCCTCCAGGTTCTAACTCCCTTCTTACCCAGATGAGGAATTCAGTTGCTTCCTGCACTCCTACGGTTCTCTCTTCCCTTCCTTCCCAGTTTTTAAAGTTTATTTCCTTGGTTTTCTTTCCATAGGAGGTGGGTTTGGCACTAAGGACTTTACTGGCAACAGTGGATGAGACGCTCCCAGTGCTCCCTGCAAGTACCCACAGAGAGGTACGTGGGGCTCCTGCTGCTCAGTTAGTACATTGCAAGGGAGCCTCAGCCAGGAGTTACCTGGGCATGGTCTGGCTCTCTCTTCATGCGTGCACACACATTGGGGATCACTGAACTTTCTCAGGGACAACCCACACTAGAGCAGGTTGCTCCAAGCCCCATCCAACCTGGCCTTGAACACTGCCAGGGATGGGGCAGCCACAGCTTCTCTGGGCACTCTGTGCCAGTGCCTCAGCACCCTTACAGGGAAGAACCTCTTCCTTAGATCCAATCTAAACTTCCCTGTTTCAGTTTGAACCCGTTACCCCTTGTCCTGTCACTACAGTCCCTAATGAAGAGTCCATCCCCAGCATCCCTATAGGCCCCCTTCAGATACTGGAAGCTGCTCTGAGGTCTCCACGCAGCCTTCTCTTCTCCAGGCTGAACAGCCCCAACTTTCTCAGCCTGTCTTCACACAGGAGGTGCTCCAGCCCCTGATCATCCTCGTGGCCTCCTCTGGACTTGTTCCAACAGTTCCATGTCCTTTTTATGTTGAGGACACCAGAACTGCACACAATACTCCAGGTGAGGTCTCACAAGAGCAGAGCAGAGGGGCAGGATCACCTCCTTAGACCTGCTGGTCACGCTGCTTTGGATGCAGCCCAGGATACGGTTGGCTTTCTGGGCTGTGAGCACTCCGTGCTCCTGCTTTAGAGCAGCGAGTGCCAGTATTCCATCTGCTGCTCCACATGGTGCCCACAGAAGCAGGCCCAGCTGCAGTGTCAGGGGCTGTGGTGGGAGGGTCACTGCTGCATGGGAGATGCTGATGACAGCTTGCACTCGACTGCCTGTTCTCATTCCAGATCGAGATGGCACAGAAGCTGCTTAACTCGGACTTGGCCGAGCTCATCAACAAGATGAAGCTGGCGCAGCAGTACGTCATGACCAGCCTGCAGCAGGAGTACAAGAAGCAGATGCTGACGGCAGCTCACGCTCTGGCTGTGGATGCCAAAAACCTGCTGGATGTTATTGATCAAGCCAGACTGAAAATGATCAGTCAGTCCAGACCGCACTAAGGCACCGAGGGGAGAGCTCCATCCAGGAATCCCGCTTGCGAAAGGATGGTGTTGGCCTTCCACCAGCAGTGAGGATTAACCCAGCGTCGTCCTGGCTTTCCAGCGCCTCTTGCTTCAAGCAGCCCTGACTGCCCGCTGCTGGTTCTCTCTCATGACAAGTTTAACCATGTTTTCCTCACCAAGCCAAGCTGGGATTCGGGAAGTGGCATTATCAGAGATGAAGTTTGTACAGAGAAGTCCTTGAGAGCTGCGGAGCACAAAGCAGCTCTGCACCCATCGCATGGGCCACGCTTAGCCCAGAGCTGCCACAGGGCTGTTGTGGCCTCGGAGCAGCAGATGGGAGAGATATTGTGAAGAATTCGGGGAAACCTCAGGGCTGAGAATTCTTGCCCACAGTATATGAACTATCCAGACTGGAATTTTTGTATTAGAACACTTACGTCGCAATATGCTAATCACAATTTACAGAGAAAAGAGTTAAAAGCTATATTTTCAAGACTTCAGTCATTTCAAGACGAAACTAAAAGCCCTCTCTTCATCTTCCTGCCTTTTACTTTGATGTGAACGTGTGAAGCCTTCGGTTGGAATTAGCTGTAGAACACGACTGAGAACTTTTTTTTCACCGGAATAACGTGCCAGTTCTTTTGTAGCAATGGTGTTTTCCTTGGAAGTGGAAATGCTGCTTTGTACCAGAGCAATTCAGAGCTGCATTTAGAGGAGTTCTGTAACCATCCATGCCCCCCATTTTGATATAATTTATAAAAGACAGATTAAAGCCATGTTGACTCTTTTAAACCCACTGTAGTTAAACTAACCCATCCTTTTGTCTATCTTGCCTGGGAGGAGTTACAGTAGAGCAGTGTAATTAGATTTTCCTTGGTTTTTTCCAGTTATGCCATCTGTTCTGTTAAAATAAAACCCACACTCCCTTCTTGCTGTTGAGGGATATAAATTATTCTCAGGAAGAATATAATGAACTGTACAGTTACTTTGACCTATTAAAAAGGTGTTACCAGTGATATCGTGTGACTGTGTGCGTGTGCATTGCAAGAAAACACTCTTGAGTTTCCTCCCCTTGCAGTTCATTCCCCACCCTAATCCACCAGCATTTCAGAATTCACTTTTGCAGGACCCAAAGAACAACAATGAGCTTTTGAGGAGGAAATCCAGACTTGTGTTTTCCTGAAAGCAGCTTTACTTCCAGCTGTGGAGTACAGCCACAAGTCAGTATCACCGTCAATGTAAGTGACTTGTAATGACTTGGTGGCACTCCTTTAGACTTCTACAATCAATTGTCCTATGGGGAGGTTTCTTTAGAAGGGCTGGGGAATGGTTGCAGGATTGTTTGGAAGCTCAGTGGGGTTCCAGCAGCAACAGGGAACTAAATTCTTCCAATGGGTGCCTGCATCTTTCAGAACAGAAATGAGCTGCAGCTTTGCTGGAAGCTGGGACACTGCAGAGCACATCACGGTTGGGCCAGATGCGGAACTATCTTCCTACATATATGACTCTGGAGACCTTGGTACACAGCAGGGACATGCTCCTAATGCAGTTTTCATTTCAATACACCTGTGGAAGTCAGCCCTTACCTTGTAAAGTCACTCTGGAAAGTCCTGTTCAGAAGTTAAATAGAGACTTAGGTACTTCTATGTATACAATCTTCCACACCCACCCTTCAAAGCAGAAACACAGAAAACGACACACAACAGCATAGACTCGGTGCCTGGTACTGCGAGGCTCCATCTGCTTTAACTGTACCTACTCATGAACAGCCTCCCAGCTTAGCTGCCAACAAGGATCTTTACCTGAAGAGTACAGCTATCCCTACTTGTTCAGTTCAGCCACTGCCCTGCGCTGTGAAACTCACATAATCCCTGCTGTCCGCAGTCCTTACTGCCCCTCTCTAGGTTACATTACCCAGTACGAGGTGGAAGCTGCACTGCTGCTGAAGCATTAACTGGATATGTCGGAGCTTCATGAGAGGCTGCAGCACCGAAGTCACAGCACTAAACATGATCTCATCCTGTAGCTGCCAAGCTCCCATGCTCCCTGTGACATTCCACACTGCCTTACTCCTCACTGTGCCATGCCTGCACTAGGTACAAAGACAAGGAAAGCTGTAAACCCCCTGATCAACACGTGCCGATGGCAGTTTTGGTACCTGCAGGTAACCTGGCTCCTTCATCCACTCCACATGCATCCACTTTAAGAGACAGAAGTACAATTCAATGTTCTTTATTATGGACAGGTACAAAACTAATTAGTCGAAAAGACCAAAGCCCATGTCATCATCAGATTCCTCTGATTCTTCTTTCTTTTCCTCTTCTTTCTTTTCCTCAGCTAGAAAAAGAGAACAGAATCAGCATTTTCAATGTTATCAGCTCACACAGGTCACATGCATAAAGACTTCACGTGAGACAACTAGCATCAAGAAGCAAAGCCTGGGCAGCCCAGACAAAGTAAGCTAATAACTAAGGAAGCGTTCCCCCTAGTAGGAAAATGGGTTTGTGCCTTCAATATTAATGTCTATCATAACTGAAAAGCTTTAGAGAAGCTCATGATGATAAACAGGACGATGAGCCTTAATTCTGAGGTTATCCTCTACACTGAGTGCAAAGCAGTATGCGCTCACAACCCAGAAAGCCAACCGTATCCTGGGCTGCATTAAAAGGAGCGTGACCAGCAGGTCCAAGGAGGTGATCCTGCCCCTCTGCTCTCCTTTTGTGAGACCTCACTTGGAGTACTGTGTGCAGTTCTGGTGTCCTCAACATAAAAGGACATGGAACTGTTGGAGCAAGTCCAGAGGAGGCCACGAGGATGATCAGGGGCTGGAGCACCTCCCATATGAAGACAGGCTGAGAAAGTTGTGGCTGTTCAGCTTGGAAAAGGCTACGTGGAGACCTCCTAGCAGCCTTCCAGTATCTGAAGGGGGCCTATAGGGATGCTGGGGATGGACTCTTCATTCAGGATTGTAGTGACAGGACAAGGGGTAAAGGGTTAAAACTGAAACGGTAAGTTCAGGTTAGATATAAGGAAGAAGTTCTTTCCTGTGAGGGTGGTGAGGCACTGGAATGGGTTGCCCAGGGAGGTTGTGAATGCTCCATCCCTGGCAGTGTTCAAGGCCAGGTTGGACAGAGCCTTGGGTGACATGGTTTAGTGTGAGGTGTCCCTGCCATGGCAGAGCGTTGGAACTGAATGATCTTAAGGTCCCTTCCAACCTAAACCATTCTGTGATCCTAATTCGAGCCCCTCTCAAGGTGAGGCCGTCGTTAACACCCACGTGCACGCTGCAGAGCACAAACCACACCGAAGCTCCAAGAGGAGGAGCCGAGCAGACTCGGGCTGGCAGCAAAGCGCTTTTTAACCGAGCACTTCCAGGTGCCACTTACCAGGGGCAGCACCGCCCGCCGGCGCAGCGCCTCCCGCGGGAGCAGCCGCGGCTGGAGCACCGCCGCCGCCACCGGCTCCTACGTTACAGATCAAGCTCCCGATGTCGATGTTGGCGAGAGCCTGGGGACAAGCGGCATCAAGAAAGCCCCGTTAACACGGGCCCAACACGGAGGGCGGCTCTGCCGGGTCACGGCATCACAGCGGCGACCGCGACGAAGCAGCAGCACGGCACGGCCCGGCCCAACCCGGTGCTGTTCACACCGGTGAACGCGGCATTTCCAAGGTACCCGTGTCGGGTCTGTGGCCCGCGGCAGCCCCCACAGCCACCCACCTTGGCGAAGAGTCCCGGCCAGAAGGGCTCCACGTTCACCCCGGCCGCCTTGATGAGCGCGTTGATCTTGTCCTCCTGCAACGAGACCGGCGCTCAGCACCCGGCCCGGCCGCGCCGCGGCTGCCGCCATCTTGTGCCGGCGCGGCCGGGCCCGCACTCACCGTGACGGTGACTTCGTCATCGTGGAGGATGAGGGCGGAGTAGATGCAGGCGAGCTCGGAGACGGAGGCCATGGCGGGGCTGGGTGCCAGTCGCCGGGGACGGCCTTAGCTTCAGCTGAAGGACACAGCACCTTGGGCCGCCGCGGAGGAAAGGGGCCGCGCCTCCGTGAGGCAGCTTTATAATGGCGCCCTCAGCCAATCGCAACCCCGGAGGACGAACACGCACCACAGGCGTCAGCGGCGCTGCCCAATCTGGGCGCTGCCCGGGAGAGCTCCTCCAATCGCGGCGTAGAAGGGGCCGAGGGCATGGCGGGAAGGGCGGTGTGGGTTAAGGGGCGCTGCAGCGGCCATGGCGGGGCTGCACTGGGCGGCCATGGGGCTCCCGCTCTGCTTCTGCCCGCCCCGGCCATGCCCCGGCCGTGTCCCGGCCCTGCTGCCCCGGCCCCGCTGCCCCGCCCGGCCCATGGGACAGGCCCGTCCTTTGCCGCGCAGGCAGGCAGGGCGCCCCTTAAACACCGGTGTGCTCACAGGGGTCTGCTTTTACCTCAGCGCCTCAGAGTGGAAACAGCCTCGAGGTGTGTCATCCTTATAGAGGGAGCGAGGGCTGTGAACTGCTTGTGCCCGGGTAGGAGCGATCCCCAGCACAGGCCCAGGCTGGGCAGAGACTGGATTGAGAGCAGCCCTGAAGAGAAGGACCTGGGGGTGTTGGGTGAGGAGAAGCTCCCCATGACCCAGCTTCAGTGCGCTCTTGAGCCCAGAACCCCCCCGTGTGCGGGGCTGCACCCCCAGAGCGTGAGCAGCAGCTGAGGGAGGGGATCCTGCCCCTCTGCTGTGCTCTGGGGAGACCCCCCCGCAGTCCTGATCCAGCTCTGGGGCAGCAGCACAAGAGGGACATGGAGCTGTTGGAGCGAGCCCAGAGGAGGCCATGGAGATGCTGCGAGGGCTGGAGCAGCTCTGCTCTGGAGCCAGGCTGAGAGAGCTGGGCTGGGTCAGCCTGGAGAAGAGAAGGCTCCTGAAGGGGAGACCTTAGAGCAGCTCCAGTGCCTGAAGGGGCTGCAGGAAACCTGGAGAGGGGCTTGGGACAAGGGATGTAGGGACAGGCCAAGGGGAATGGCTTTAACCTGCCAGAGGAGAGACTGAGATGAGCTCTTAGGCAGAAGCCCTTCCCTGTGAGGGTGCTGAGGCGCTGGCACAGGGTGCCCAGAGAAGCTGTGGCTGCCCCATCCCTGGCAGTGTTCAAGGCCAGGTTGGACACAGGGGCTTGGAGCAAGCTGCTCTAGTGGAAGGTGTCCCTGCCTGTGGCAGGGGTTGGAGCTGGATGAGCTTTAAGGTCCCTTCCAACCCAAACCATTCTGGGATTTCATGAAAACAAAAAGAAAATGCAGTAGGGAAGACTCATCAGAGCAAACAGCACAAGTCTGATGATGGAGCAGGATGTTAATGCAGTGAACAGGAGAGGCTGAGACCTGCATGTTGTATGTCGGGCAGTGTCCTAAGAGCTGCCACTAGATACAAAGGAATTCCATTTACCTCGGAGTGCAGAATGGCCAATATTTGTTAATAGTCTCCAAAACAAGCCATTCCTATGTACCACTTACAGCATTTAACAAGTGCTGTTATTTAGGGTGTCAAATAAATGCTTTCTGATCTCCTGTTCTTAACAGAAGTGCATTTGATGGATGCCATTCAGAGCACAGTTCATGTGCTGCAGGGCTTGCCTAGAGTCCTGGGACACAGTGTGTTTAGGCCTTTGAGAAGGCACCTCTAAGCAGGGCTGAATCAGCTGTGGTCTGTCTGTTGCTCTCCCAGTAAATGAAGTCTCCTTCCAGCTGTGTCCAGGTTACAGAATCAGCTGAGTCTAATGCAGCTGAATGAGTCAGGACTGTGCAGTTGTAACTCAGATGGTGAATGGCAGGATTGGCGTGTTCGTCATTCCTTTAGAAAGATGGGTGCTTGCTTTGAAACCATTTTGTCCAAAGGAGCAGGAGAAAATGGTTGTTTTGAGTGAGAAGTGGGCACTTCCCTCAATCAGAACATCTTCCCCAGCAGAACAGCTCTATTTGCTATTCATGTGCAGTCAACCCACTTCCAGGCAAGTTACTTAAAGAGCATTTGTTCAGTGTTGGTGATGCTGCAACGGAGCTGGCCCCGGCTGTAGGGGGTATCCACCAGCAGAAAGCCGTTTCCACTCACCAGTGGCAACCAAGCCAGAGCTCTCACAGAAACATGGACCCATCCAGGTCCTTCATTAGTAACTGATGGCGTTAGTGAGAACAGCTGCGTGAGGTGTCACCAAGACACTCTGCTATGCCTGTTGGCAGAGCTATGGGAGGAAACAGGTTAAAAAGCATCAGGGAGTCTGAGAAAGAGGCTGGCTGTGGAACCATGCTCTGCCCTCCCTGAGGTGGGCACAGTCACCAGGAAAAACCAAGCAAGGTCAAGGGGGTCCTGTGTCCTCTCCCCGCCGAGCAGAAGGCAGTAGCTTAAAGGAAATGAGGGAATAGAGGCAAGTCCATGCTCAGGGTTGCAGGCAAAACTTGTCCTTGCCCACTTCCCTTTCCCAGGTGCCTCTGTACAACAGGTAAGAGGCTCTAGATGTGGAAGGGAAGTCAATTGTTAATGTGGATGAGGGTCCCTCTACACTAGAGGTGTTGCCAAGATCAGAAAGGCTTACCCCTGTATTGTGACAGATACATCAGGAAGGATTATAGCTGTAGGTGATTCTCTTCTGAGAGGAACAGAGGGTCTGAAATGCCACAGACCCTCCTGTGAGGGAAGTGCTGCTTTCCTGGGGCCTGGGTTAAGGCCATCACTAAGAAACCTCCTAGCCTGGTATGGCCCTCAGACTGCTGCCCATTACTGCTCTTCCGTGGGGGTGGCGATGAAGTTGCAATGCACAGACCAAGGGCAATCAAAAGAGACTTCGGGGCCTTGGGAAGGTTGGTAAGGGAATCTGGAGCACTGGTAATTTTTCCTCTGTCCTTCCAGTTGCAGGCAATGACACTGGAAGACACAGACAGACCCAGTCTATTAATACATGGCTCTGTGGCTGGTGTCACAGCCACGGTTTTGGGGCTCCTGAGGTAATAGGAGCTAAGAGAGAAACTGGTGAAACACCTCAAATGAATGATGGTTGTTCCACCAAAAAGGTGACAAGCTGACAGCCCAGCTGAAGTCCCTCTACACCAATGCAGCCAGCATGGGCACCTAAAAGGAGGAACTGGAAGCCATCGTGCTGCTAGAAAGCTTACAACCCAGTTGCCATAACTGGAGCTCAGAGGAACAAATCCCATGACTGGAGTGTGACTGCTGCTGGCTGCAGGCTGTTCAGAAGGGACAGGAGGGGAAGGAGGGGGGGGAAATGTCAAGAAATGGATAGATTGTGAAAGCTGTTTCAAGAATAGACACGAGCAGGTTGCAAAGTTAGGGGTAAGAACAGATACTGAGACAACAACGGAACCTTGTAGCTGGTCTTTACTACAGGCTGCCAGATCGAGGACAGCCTATTGATGTAGCCTTATTCCAGCTACAGGAAGCATCACGCTCGCAAGCTCTCATCCTGCTGGGGGACTTCAGCCACCCCAGTGTCTGCTGGAGAAGTACCATGGTGAGCTGTAGGCAATCCTGGAGTGCATTGAGGATAACTTCTTAAGCCAGGTAATAGCCCTACCAGGAGGGATGTGTTACTGGACCTGTTGGCCACCAATGCAAGTGAGCCCATCGGAAACGTCAGGATTGGAGGCAGCCTGGGCTGCAGTGATCATGCAGTGGTGGAGCTCACAGTCCTGAGGGATGTGGGTCAGATGAAGAGTAATGTCAGGACCCTGAATTTTAGGAATGTAAACTTCCCACTGTTCAAGGAGTTAGTCAGTAGGATCCCCTGGGAAGCTGCCAGCATGGACAAGGGAGCAGAACAGAGCTGGCAGATCCTTAAGGACATTTTCCATAGAGCATAAGAGCTCTTGATCCCCATGTATAAGTAATTAAGGAAGGAAGGCAAGAGACCAGCACGGTTGAGTCAAGACCTGCTAGTTAAACCAAAGGGCAAGAAGGAAATGCACAGGCAATGGAAGCAGGGACAGCTATCCTGGGATGAGTATGGGGATGCTGCGTGGCTGTGTGAGAATAGGGTCAGGAGGCCTTATTTTGGCCTTTCAATATTTAAAGGAGTTTTAAGAAAGATGGGCACAGACTTTTTAGCAGGGCTGGTTGTGATAGGACAAGGGGTGATGGCTTTAAACTAAAAGGGGGGAGATTCACACTAGGTACAAGGAAAACAGATTTTATGATGAGTGCGGTGAAACACTGGAACAGGTTACCCAGAGAGATGGTCCCTGGAAACATCCAAGGTCAGGTTAGATGGGGCTCTAGGCAATGGGATCTAGTTGAAGATGTCCCTGCTCATTGCAGGGGGGACTGGACTGCATGACCTCCAACCCAAACCATTCTTTATGATAAATAATTCAAACTTTGAAGAATAAGCTGGAGTAAAATTAGTGAAGAATTTGCAAAAAGCCTGAAAGCTCAGAATTCTCAAATGCCAATTTGCCATTACCAGCACAGTGTGTACAACAGCCTGCTCCTGTTCTGCTCCTTCAGTAAAATCTGAGGATTTATTAGACCATTACAAGTAAAAACTGAGGTAGGCAAAAGGGACTTGACCTCTTGTATCCATCCCTTCCTTGCAATCAGAAACAACTTGAAGTTTCACTGAATGAAGATGTTGGTTGATGAGAAAATGAACATGAGCCAGCTTCAGTGTGTGCTTGCAGTCCAGAAAGTCAACTGTATCCTGGGCTGCGTCAAAAGGAGCGTGACCAGCAGGTCCAGGGAGGTGCTCCTGCCCCTCTACTCTGCTCTTGTGAGACCTCACCTGGAGTATTGTGTGCAGTTCTGGTGTCCTCAGCATAAAAAGGACATGGAACTGTTGGAACAAGTCCAGAGGAGGCCACGAGGATGATCAGGGGCTGGAGCACCTCCTGTATGAAGACAGGCTGAGAAAGTTGGGGCTGTTCAGCCTGGAGAAGAGAAGGCTGCGTGGAGACCTCAGAGCAGCCTTCCAGTGTCTGAAGGGGGCCTATAGGGATGCTGGGGAGGGACTCTTCATTAGGGACTGTAGTGACAGGACAAGGGGTAACGGGTTAAAACTTAAACAGGGGAAGTTTAGACTGGATATAAGGAGGAAATTCTTTCCTGTTAGAGTGGTGAGGCACTGGAATGGGTTGCCCAGGGCAGTTGTGAATGCTCCATTGCTGGCAGTGTTCAAGGCCAGGTTGGACAGAGCCTTGGGTGATATGATTTAGCATAAGGTGTCCCTGGCCATGGCAGGGGGGTTGGAACTTGATGATCTTCAGGTCCTTTCCAACCCTAACGATTCTATGATTCTATGATTCTATGACTCTGCTTACTGCTGTAGACGATAAATGCAGTGTGCTGCAGCACTTAACTTGTGGGTGCTTAACCCTATTAGTGGGGTCACCAGCTCTGAATTTAAGCATTTACTTAAATGTTTTATACAAGGCACAGGGCAAATGTGTACATTTTTAGTTACTTAAAGTAGCAAATAAATGCATCATTCCGTTAGGATGTAATATGGTGGAGCCTCTGTCATTGTTAGGTGCTTGAGGATGGGATTTCACAAGTGACATGCAGGAGCCTGTCTTGTCTGTCCCTCACTCCAGTGTTGCCACAGCCTCTCTTGCTAAAGAACTCCGAGCTGTGCCAATAGGTCCATGGGGTGACCTGGCTGAAAGCTAGCAACATGGAAAGAGAAGATGCCTTTTCAATCGAATGAACTTCCCAATAAAGGTAGCCTGGGAGGTCAGCAGTGGTGGTGTGCAAGCAAACAACAAAACTGGAGGCTTAATAGAGACCAGTCATAATTTGCTTGTGAAAGAAGGTCATATATAGTATATAACTACATTGCAGCTATCAGGAAGCAGAAACCAGAGCTTCTGTTGTGGTGAAATGAACACATTTGGGGACAGTACACAAGCAGTCGTTTTGCTTGTGGCTCTGAAGAAAGGTGAATGCTGGGGGCCAGCTTTTCATACTCTGCTTTAGTGGTGAAAGTAGGAATGGAAACTTGCATAGGCTCTAACAGAGTGAGGAAGAACACTGGTAACAGTTCTGATAGAACAGTCCTTAAGCTAAAAATGGTTTAAAATACTGATGCACTGTTAAAATATGAAGTATGAAGCCCTACCATTTAAATGTGACATTCATATAAGCTTAGGCTTTGGTTAGTAAAGACATTCATTAAATGAGATTTGCCTACATCCTTGTTTCATGGCTGTCTTGCCGCATCTATTGAGTGACACTGATAAGGCTGCTCTCTAGGGGCTCACAATAAATTATGATGAAACCAAATCACTATGTAGTAAGAAAACTAAAAATTAAACCAATTTTGCTGCTTCCCAAAGCTTTTTGAATCCTACTGTCCCGTATCCAGTCAGGATTGCTGATTGACAAAGCTCAATTCCAAGGCAGACCAAGGCTTAAGGTCTAGATGTTTGCAGTGGTGCGTGCTTTTCACCTCTGATCCTGTAACTGTACTTTGTATTAAACATGTCACTATCCTTTTGCAGCAGAACAGTCTCTATTTGGGGAATCTATAGCAAATAGATGGGGGCTTAAAAAGAACCCTAAAAATGCTTCTATGTATTCTACAGTTCCAGAGTAGTGAGTTATTTCCAGGGTGATGAGTTCCAGGCACTGGATCCGGGAAAATCACAGTTCTGGTTTAGGATGACAACACAATTCTGTTGCTACCAAGGTGTTATACAATAGCACAGGAGTGTTTGTGATAAACAAAACAAGTAACTTGGGTATGAAACATCCCTAAAGGGGGTATTTTACATTTAGAGGATGGTCAGGGGTTGTGGCAGAGACTTGCTGTATGTGCCTGTGCATTACTTAACAGCCAAGAGAGGAAAACATCAGCAATGTGCAGATGAACTTGTTTCAAAGCACTGTTACAGTGGTATGTATGTAAGTGGGGAGGGATTATGTGTGTGTATATATGCTCCATTTAAAGAATTGGAGCTTGCTGTGGTGGGAGTGCCAGTTTCAAAATGTAAAGCAAAATTTTACTATTCATTAATATTCATTAGGAAAGCACTCCATACTAATAATCAGTTCTCTCAGTCATTGTCACACTCTTGCACATTATCAGTCATTAGCGCTACATATGCAAAGCAATCAGCCCTTAACACTTCATCCTAAATGAGCTGTGAGTATATCATCCTACAGAGCTGATGTCTTAGAGTTACAACATTGCTGAGATCATTGGTAGTCATCACAATGGTCAAACTCAAGAGGTGTTCACCAGTTGATACTTTCATTCTCTTTCCCTGCCTTTGATTTAACTGTTTTGTTAGTGCTTTTTAACCTTCCTAAGGTGATTCTTCCTTTCTTAGCTCTCAAGGTTGCACTTTCTTTTCTTGTTTAAACTGTTCAAATGGTCTATATTTCATTGGCACTGGGATCCAAATTTCTATACAAGCCCGTATCTCCTGCTTTTAGCAGCCACATTCTAAGGAACTTCAGGTCGTTGATCATCATCAACAGGGTAGGGGGTAGGAAGGTTCTGGACAGGCTGGATCAATGGGCTGTGGCAAATGGAATGAGGTTCAACAACACGAAGTGAAGGGTCCTGCACTTGGGGTGCAACCAACCACATGGAATGCTCCAGGCTTGGGGAAGAGGGACTGGAAAGCTGCTTGGTGGAAAAGGACCTGGGGGTGTTGCTGCCTGAACACGAGCAGCTTGTGCCCAGGCAGCCAAGAAGGCTAATGGTATCCTGGCCTGTATCAGCAGTGGTGTGTCCAGCAGGTCCAGGGCAGTGATCATCCTCCTGCACTGGGCACTGGTGAGGCTACACCTTGAATCTTGTATTCAGTTCTGGGCCCCTCACTACAAGAGAGACATTGAGGTGCTGGAGTGGGGCCAGAGGACAATGGAGCTGGTGCAGGGCCTGGAGCACAAGTGTGATGAGGAACGGCTGAGGGACCTGGGGAGTTCAGTCTGGAGAAGAGAAGGCTCAGGGGGGACCTGATAGCTCCCTACAACTGCCTGACAGGAGGATGGAGAGAGGTGGGGTCAGTCTCTTCTCCCAGGTGACAAGCAATAGGACAAGAGCCTCAAGCTGCACCAGGGGAGGTTTAGATTGGAGATTAAGAACAATTTCTTCACTGAGAGGGTGCTCAGGCATGGGAACAGGCCGCCCAGGGCAGTGGTGGAATCACCATCCATGGAAGTGTTCAAAAACCATGTATATAAGACCCTCAGTGTCATGGTTTAGTGGTGGCCTTGGGAGTGCTGGGGTAAAGTTTGGCCCTGATGATCTTAAAGGTCTTCTCCAACTTCGTGGAGTCTGTGATTTTATTATTACAACAAAGAGCAAAACTCTGTTACTACTTAAAACTGTAATAATCAGCGTACATAACATATCCCCAATAGGTGGTGCTGTATCTTTTTCATAGCGTTCGGATCGTTGGTCCTGATCACTCAGAAAACTTCTTTCTGGAGTGAAGTTAACAATGTAATAAAAGAAATACTTTGGGGGGGGGGGGGGGTGTTATAAATAAATATTGCAATTGATTTGGCAAAAGGAATCAAATGTAGCTTTGTAACTTAGTAATCACAGCACTAAAAGGACAAAAAAAATCAGGTTTTGGTCCCTCTGCCAGGCATTAATTTGGATTTAATCAGTAAGTGTAAAATAATGAACGGTCCATGAGGAGGGCACCAGGACCCTCAACGTCTTTGTAACCATGTGAACACATCAGATTACAGAGTGGCGGTCTGCTTCACTTCTGCTCTGATTTTATATGCAAAGCAGAACATGGAATATGTGAGAAGTCTAATGCAGGCACTCTGGGATAACATCATAAAAGCCAGGCCAGTTGAGAGCTGGGAAGTGTGAGCTTAAATCCCCTCTGAGTTAAGAATAAAACATAGCTCTTTCTGCTCTGAGTACAATTTTTTTGCCACTGTACCATTGTTATCAATGACTAAAAGCCATTTATAAACTAGGGGGATTGATTTAGTTTACAAAGGGAAGGATCCTTAGATCAATGTATCTCTTCTCATGAAAAGACGTATCATTTGTCACTAGCCTATTTGTAGATAAAATATTTACCCCAGATTGCCATTGCTGGTATACCTTATTTTAAAAGCTGGTCCTAAGTACTAAACTTTTCTTCCAAAATGGTTAGAAAATGCTCTGTTTTTCCAAAACTGGTAATTCATTCTTTGAGAGATATCAGTTCTGGGAAATATCGGCTTGAAATCCAGCACTTCTGATGGGTATTGTGTCCAACAGTCACTTCTTTCTTTTTTCCTTTAAAGAAACCTGATTTAAATGTTTAAGCAGTTGTTCTTATCCCACTCTATAATTGTTAGTATCACATATAAATAGCATGTATAAAAGAATGCTCTTACAGAGCTTTCAAACCGCTCTTACAACCCAAACCTTTTCAAGAACTGAGGTCATTTTTGGGTGGAATTGCCCACTAAGACATAATCAGGTTTCACTGTGCTCCAAAACTACTACTGTCGGTGACAGAAAGCATTAGAAATAAAGCAAGTGACATGGCCCAAAGTGAGTGTGTGATGGGAGGTGGAGGAGAGCTGGAACTCTCCCCAGTAACACAGAAATGCTGCTAGAAGTGTATAGTAGCATGAAAAAAGCCTGGAAGCACAGCAGGACTTCTACAGGAGAAAACTGGCTTAAATAACCCAGTATTTAACTGATTGTACATGTCTGCAGTCCCGTATAAACCATCATAAGCCCTTTCCCTTATGAAGTTCTAAATCCACAAAAATCAGATTTAAATCAATGCAAGTGCATTGCACTCTAGGATGTTCCAGGTATTAATTGCTGGGTTTGGGATCTCTGTTTTTGCAGAGTGTTTCTGTAATCAATTGCAGAGTATCCTGTGGAGCCTGAATGAAATGGGGGATATGCATTCAGGGTTTTGGGAGACCTCTCCCGATATTTCACCTATCTTCTGTTGCTTGTTAGCTTGTTATTGTCAAACTGATAGCAGAGTACCATCATTCACTTCTTTTCTGCTGCAACTAAGTCAGGTGTCAGATGAAGTTCTATGTGGGTGCATCCCTTCAGCACGTGAGCTTCACTGATTCCTGCTTTCAGGACAGGATTTCACAAGAATGATATAAAAAGGTCGACCCTGCCTGTGTACTCTGCTCTCGTGAGACCTCACCTGGAGTATCGGGTGCAGTTCTGGTGTCCTCAACATAAAAAGGACATGGAACTGTTGAACAAGTCCAGAGGAGGCCACGAGGATGATCAGGGACTGGAGCACCTCCTGTATGAAGACAGGCTGAGGAAGTTGGGGCTGTTCAGCCTGGAGAAGAGAAGGCTGCATGGAGACCTCATAGCAGCCTTCCAGTACCTGAAGGGGGCCTATAGGGACGCTGGGGGAGGGACTGTTCATTAGAGATTGTAGTGATAGGACAAGGGGTAACGGGTTAAAACTTAAACAGGGGAAATTTATATTGGATATAAGGAAGAAGTTCTTTACTGTAAGGGTGGTGAGGCACTGGAATGGGTTGCCCAGGGAAATTGTGAATACTCCATCCCTGGTGGTGTTCAAGGCCAGATTGGACAGAGCCTTGGGTGACATGGTTTAGTGTGAGGTGTCCCTGCCATGGCAGGGGGTTGAAACTGGATGATCTTAAGGTCCTTTCCAACTCAAACCATTCTGTGATTCTAAGGTGAGACAGAATTATTTGTGTTTATATGTCCCACAGTGGGACAATTTGGGGTTTGTCAGAGATGGGCATTTCCCTGGAAGGCTGTGTTAAGCTCATTCCACACGCCTCCAAACACAATCTGATGGAGGTTAGCTCAGTGCTGCCAGTCAGTAACCAAAGTAGTCAAGCGGATTTGTCTAGAACCCTACAGTGTGTATTCATTCTCTCTTGTACAGGCTCTAACAGGCAGGACAGTATGCAGAATGTTAGAGGGAGTTATCTTCCTAATCAGATCAGAAGATTGATTTAAATGTAATATAAAAAAAACAGATGTTGACTCAGGGACTGCGTGGTTTCCTGTCACCTCAGCATTTACTAATATCTAATATAGCAGAAAGGCCAAATTTCCCTCAGATAACTCTCTTCTGGCTTTTTTGGGGGGATTTCTCCACCCCCATTTTCAGCCTCCAGTAAGTTACAGAGCACAGACCAGAAACTGTTGGTGGTTGAGCAAAAATGTTGCCCAACTCCTCAGAGCAAGGGAAACAGCAATCCCATTGCCAGCTCCCTTGCTTCTAATTTTGCTAGAGCTGCTTGGCTTTACTCTAGAACTGAAGCTGACCCATGATTTGGTCCTTTATTTGTTTATAGTTACTGGTAAGTCTTTACTTTCCAGCAACTTGAGGAGCTTGGAATGCAGACAAATCCAAAATCACTCCAGTGGAAACTCTAGTGGTGACAATGGTTTCAGGAACAACTCACTTGAAGTGAAAGCTGAGCTGTTAATAGCAACCCTTGAACATCTACAAGTGTGAGCCAAAGGGAAGAGTAAACATAAACTGATGTAACTGAAACAGGGAGATGCCTCTATATCCCTTCAAATCCCTCCTACACCTGGGTCGGAGCAATCCCAGGTGCAGCTACAGGTTGGGCAGAGAAGAGATTCAGAGCAGCCCTGTGGAGAAGGACTTGGGGGTGTTGGTCAGTGAGAAAATGAACATGAGCCGGCTTCAGTGTGCGCTCGCAGCCCAGAAAGCCAACCGTATCCTGGGCTGCATCAAAAGGAGCGTGACCAGCAGGTCCAGGGAGGTGATCCTGCCCCTCTGCTCTGCTCTTGTGAGACCTCACCTGGAGTATTGTGTGCAGTTCTGGTGTCCTCAACATAAAAAGGACATGGAACTGTTGGAACAAGTCCAGAGGAGGCCACGAGGATGATCAGGGGCTGGAGCACCTCCTGTATGGAGCCAGGCTGAGGAAGTTGGGGCTGTTCAGCCTGGAGAAGAGAAGGCTGCGTGGAGACCTCAGAGCAGCTTCCAGTATCTGAAGAGGGCTTATAAGGATGCTGAGGAGGGACTCTTCATTAGGGACTGTAGTGACAGGACAAGGGGTAATGGGTTAAAACTGAAACAGGGGAAGTTTAGATTGGATATAAGGAAGAAGTTCTTTAAGGGTGGTGAGGCACTGGGATGGGTTGCCCAGGGAAGTTGTGAATGCTCCATCCCTGGTGGTGTTCAAGGCCAGGCTGGACAGAGCCTTGGGTGACATGGTTTGGTGTGAGGTGTCCCTGGCCATGGCAGGGGGGTTGGAACTGAATGATCTTAAGGTCCTTTCCAACCCTAACGATTCTATGATTCTGTGATTCTAAATATGAACTGATGGAGGATATTAATTGATCAATGAACTATACAAGCCATGTTTGCCTCAGCCTTTGGCAGATAACATTTACTGAAGGAATTTAGTTGACTTTGAGGGGGTTTGACTGTTCTGGGATAAGAGAACTGTGTTACTTGTTTCTAAAGGCTTCCACATCCAAATGGAGCAGGTGAATGGAAGTTTGGATCATAGCTGCTGTCCTGTAATCGTGTAGGTAATACCTTCTGGTGGAAGCGACCATCATTAGCTTGCTCTTTGCCTCCTTAGCAGGTTTGATTTTGTTTTCCTATTTCTCCTCCTGAAAGGAAGAGGTGCCAATGAGGAGATTATAAAAGGATGACAGTTCCCACAGGAATCATCCTCTGACATCTCCCGTGTCTCAGTGCATCATACTGATCAATACCTCTTTAGCATTATGGCTAGTTGGTATACCCTGTATATACATACAGACAGAGATTATCTGGTTGTACAACAGCAAGGTACCACACCACAGCTGGGTTTCATAGATACAATGAAAAGTGGATGTGGTGTAGAGGTGTGAGATCCTCACGGTGACTGATCCGAGGTTTTCACAGCAGTGTTGCTTTTTTCTCATAGGGTGAAATAAGAGAACGCATAGAATGCTTTGGGTTGGATGGTACCTTAAAGCTCACCCAGTTCCAACCCCCTGCCATGGGCAGGGACACCCCCCACTAGACCGTGTCAGCCAGGGCCCTATCCAAAATGAAACAACCAAATCTAATTCTCAAGTAAACAGGGCATTGAAGATCAAGCAGTACATGGAAAACTGATCCCATTCCAGCATCCTTTTTAAGCAGGCATAGCTAGGCAAACTGCCTTAAAGGAGAGGTAGCGAGAGCTAGAGGCACACGGTGGTTTCGCAAGGTTTCTGTGGCAGTCTGGCTGCAACATACACTTTTAGTTTGATGTTGCACCTGCCCAAGGCAGAGGCTTGGTTAAAAGAAGCCATGGTTCCCTCTGGTGGGTGACTCCAGGGCCTACAAAGGCTCCTGCTACACATGGCCGGTGTCTGGTTATCCACACTGGCGCGCTGCAGGAGCAAACCCCAACGTGCCCGAGTGCTGGGGCCGTATCCAGGCCGTGGAACCGCTGCCGGGCGGCAGGCGCAGGCGGACCGCAGGCCAGGGCCCCCTCGCCGCGCCGCCCGCTCCGCTTCCCGCCGGCGCGGGGCCCGCGGGCAGGAGGGCGGTGAAGCCGGCGGCGGGCGGAGCGCCCCTGCCCCGTGACCCCGCGGCTCCTCCCTTGTCCCCACCCACCAGCGCCCGCTCCTCAGTGCCGCCGAGTAACCTGGTTCTGCGGCGCCGGGCCGGCCCTGCTCCCGCTGCTCGCTCTTTTTGTTTTTCCCTCCTTTCCCCTTTTCTTTTCCTCCCCTTTCCCTCCCCTTCCTTCTTCTCCTCCCCCTTCCCCCGACAGCGCAGCCGGGGCTCGGGCTCGCCTCCTTCGCCCCCCTTTTCCCTCCCCTCGAGCTGCCGCCGCGGTAGGGACCTGGAGAGAGGCGCCGCCTCCGCCGCCGCACACGGAGACATGTACCCGGGAGCCACCTCCGCCGGACCCGGTGAGGCTTCGGCCGCTTTCCCTTCCCTCCTCGGGGCTTCCCCCCCTTCTCCCCGAGCGCTTTGCTCCTTCCCTTTCGAGAGGCGGCGGGGTTTGCGCTCGGCGGCCGTTTGTGTGTGGTGTGAGGAGCGGGGACCCTTGGCGCACGAGGCGTCTGTCAGCGCGGGCGTGAGCCCCCTCAGCGGCCACCTCTGCCCCTCTGTCCCCTTCCCTCCAGCGAGCGAGGCGCCGAGGGCCGGCGGTGTGGGGGGAGAAGGACCCTTAGAGATCCCCCCCCTTGTCCCCTCCCCGTGCTCGGGCCTGGCTGAGGCCGCGGCCGGCCGCGCTCGCCGGGGAAGGAGGGGTCAGGCCACCGCCGCCGCCTCGGGAGGGCGGTGAGCGGAGCCTGCGTGTCCGGAGGCCCCTTTTAGGGGAGGGTCGCCTTCCCCTGCCCTCCTCTCCCCTCCCTCTGCCGCGGCGGGAGGCTGGCCCCGGCCTGAGGGCGAGTGGGGCTGTGAGGGGGCCGAGGCGGGGGGGGGCTGCGCCCTTTGCCCGCCGGGGGGTTCCCTCACGGGGCTCTGGGAGCCGCTGCTGGGCCGGCAGGAGACGGCGGAGATCCCCCCCGCCCCGGCCCGCATGGTCCGTCCCCGGGGTGTCCCCTCGGCTGTGCGCTACGTGCTGCCTGCCCCAGGCCAGCGCTCGCTGTTCTGCCAGCTCAGCCTCCTGCTGGCAGCGCGGAGCGGACCGGGGTCTCCATTTCCTCCCTCGCACATCCTCGTAGCGGCGGCATCCTCCGGGGACAGCCTGCGATAGGCGTCTCAGGGCGCGCACAAGTTCAGGCCGCTGTGGCTGTGTTCGCCAGCGAGTGCGCTGTGCCCGTGTGTGGTGGTTAGGTGTAGGTAAACCGCGTTTAGGTGGAGGTAAAGCCGTAATCCAGATGGCGGGTAGGGTTGGAAGAGGTTATGAGCTTCCTTAGATGTCTTCAGGCTCTGTCGGGTACTGAAATCTGTGAGCAGAGGACAAGAAGAAAGGTTACCAACTCATTCAGGGACATCTAACATTATTTAGGGAGACTGTAGAGTTTGTGAGGTGTTTGTTCCATTCGGTGTTAGGCTGTTACTGTGGTGAGAATTCCTGTGCAGGATCTATGATGTTTGGGTGACTGATACCTAGTTTTCTTCTCGAAAAGTTTCAAACGAAGTGGAACTTTGTTTTATATTACTGTTCTCAACAGTTTTGCGTGAAATCTTTCACCTTAGCGGGGTAATCTATCAAAGAATAGTGTAGTGAAATGCAGGACCTGTAACTGAGATGTCTTTTACTGCTTGTTACAAATGTTCCTACTGTAAGGGCATTCCTATCTTAAGATCTTAGGTGTTGGCTTCTTCTCCGATTGAAGAATCGAGACAGACAATCAGGATTATTGCTTTCTTCTTAGAGTGCAGCTCCTCTGGTTTTTCCTTTCCTCCTTTTCTTTCTACAGTGCCCGAAGACTTTAGACACACCAGGAAGATAGGTCTGTGCAGCTCTGTATCCAGAACAATGTTCGCGACTTTCCTCTCGTGTGTAACATCATGTGCACATTTCAGCACTAATAAGTGGGTATCACTATCGATGTAATCATTTGGTGGCTTCTAGAGCCAGGCTTTCTTGCTCAGGTACAGGTATACTTTGAGTTTGCAGGTACTCACAGTGCTCAGATTATGCTGTTGTTGCTGAGGCTGTGATGTTCCCCTCCTGTCGGTACATCTGTGTTGAAACTGTGCATAAGGAGGCAAATAACTGAAAATATCACCAGTGCATGTGCTGAGAGTGGGTTGATGTGTGGGAGTCTCTTTATCTGCTTTTATTTGCTCTGTACCTGACCCTGCCACTGTCCCTTTCACTTGGAATGATCTTACACACCCACCAGCGTTGGTTGCTGCTGTTTACCATTGGGGGCCCGTGTTCAATGTGTAAGGGTATTTTCCTCTTACTGGAACAACTCTCTTAACCTCGGGCTCTTGATAGAACAACCACTATACTGACACGGAATCCTATATTACTGCATGTTAGTGGTGTGTGTCTCAGCCTCCTGGTATTATTCTCTTCCCTCCAGCCAAGCTCATCTTCCGTCTTGTTTACTTCCTAGTTTATCTCTGTGGCTCAGCCCTTTCCCCCTGCGCAGAGCTGGGCAGTGACGGTGCCTGTTCTGGGGTATGAGCTGCAAGTTGTTCTCTACATCATGAGGCTTTCTGTTTCCTTCCTGTGAAATCATCCATAGACAGCCTTAGCTCAGTGGCTTCTAGCAGTCCAGACAGCTTCCTGTTCCACCAAATTTGAGTAGTGTATTTTAAGGGAGCTGGCCTGTATTGTGAACCAGTCTGGAAACAGTATGCTTAGTGCCCTTGTATAAGGCTACGTGTGCCTGTGAGCTGCCAGTGCAAGTTCCCTTCCATATGTGAATCTGATACCTATAAAATCAAAGTGTGCTGGAATCCTGCTCAGAGGAGGGAGCAAGAAGTGTGATTTACAGCCATTCACTGAGCTCCAGCTGCCGTGAAAGCACAAGTTCTCAGCCTCTACATGTCTGTCAGCACATCCTCGACACTGTGTAAATGCTCCATTCATATCTCGTCCAACTTCGATCTTGCCGCCGCTTGCTTCTCTGCACGTTGCTGCTGCATAGAAGCTACTTTGCTCTTCCAGCTCCTGTTGCCAAACTGGACACAGCAGCCAGCCCCGCTGTGAGGGTGCCTGTGGTGGTGGCCTCCTGCCAGTGTAATCGCTCAATTTGCCGCAGGGTTTGCTATTTTCATCTTCATTCTTTTTTCTGGACACAGTAGAAAGCAAGTTAGGAGGCTGTATCTGACTAAGTTCAGAAGATTGCTGCTGAGCGTGGAAACTTTGTTCTAACATGCTGTTGTTACACTGGGAGTAAGAGCTTATTTCATACAAAAGGGGACATCCTGGAATCACTGGGTTTGCGGTTAGAAAACCTATGTTCCTTGCTCCCTTTTCCCAAACACTCTTTGAGTTCTTGACTTGGCGTTGAATTAGCTGAAACATTACATACATGTGCTTTAGTTTTGCCTTCAAGACACTGAAAAGTAATCTGAAAATGATATTCTTTAATTAAGAAATTAGATACTGCTACGTTTTGTTACACGTTTTTGTAGAAAGGCAGAAAATGTCAAAGGAATGTAATAAAAATCCTGTCACTTTAAAGCATTGATTAACACTTGTCTAAACTTCTATAACTTGCGCTGCTTGGTGTTCATGTAGTTACAGATTCTGAATTTGGCTGCTATAGGTTCTCTTTTCATCCTATGAAAGGATATTTGATTTATGTCTGCTGCTCAAGGTCTTGGTTTATTGTAGAAGCAGCAGTTGTCTGAAGAAGAGTGTCTTTGTGAAGGGCGTTACAGCTTTGCATGTAAAATAGAACCTTTTTGTAGCGCAAGAAATGATTTTGAGCCCTCTATCAAACTAGTGAAATTGAGGTTATTTTCTCACTTGTCATTTAGTTGGAAATTACTTCTTTAGAATTGTTAATAGGCTGTTGTAACTTTTGAGTCTCTCGTTTTTCAGCATGTGTACTTGTTTTTAACTCCCATATATTGAAGGTATGTGATGGGTGGATGCTGATTCTCTTTAGGACTCCCTAGTCCTAAAACATGGTGCCATGAAGGGTGTGCTCATGCCTTACTTGGGGTAGTAGAAATGGCATCCTGTGGCCTTACGGAATTTAACTTCACCAGCATCCTCTTAGCTTACACACCAGTAGCAGCAAGAACTCCTGTGTGCCTGTCAAGGGTCTGTCTTTCTTCTGTTAGAAAGCTTTCTTGTATTCTTTCGGGAATGGTTCCGAACCTGCTCTTACTGTGCCAGCTCTGCAGGTATCACAGAGCTGCCCAGTTTCTTTGCCTTAATTTTAGACAGCAGATTGTGTTGAAATTCATTGTAAGCTGCCACACATAGAAGTGGAAATGAGAACTTAATGTACAGCTTCAGCTCTCTTTGGTTTTGCCTGAGAATTTTCCCTTAGATTTGAATTGGATTTGGCAACATTACAACCTACAAAAAACAGTGTTAATTTTTTCCTGTGTGTTGCTGTTGTGGCCAGTGTATTTTCCTAAGGAAGAGAAAGATTGTGTATTGTTTCAGTTAGCTGTGTAGGCTTAAAGTAGCTTAAAGATGAGATAGTCATTTGATGAAAAGATAATTGATGTTGTCATTCGTGTGAGCCAAACTTTCTCCTTTGCTTCCTGAAGTGTATTATTTGCTATCTGAAAAGTCAAACTTTGTTTTTCAGCAGTGATTCTCTCACTGGCTGCATTTACATGGGATTTTGTACACTTAGTTTTCCCTTGTCTTGAAGTTACTCACTTTGGCAGGATCGTCATGTACTCATACATACTCAGTGGTGTGTTGTAATGGATATAGAAAGAGTACAGAGGAACAGCCAAACCTCCCTGACTTCCAGGGAAGTACAACTTTGACAGCTTGTACACCCTCTTCTGCACTGCTGTCACCCCACTCTTCCTGTGTTTCACAGAGGGAAAGGGAGTTCAGTGCTTTAACTCTGTGAGAGAAGATGTCTTAGATTAACATGGTCTGCTCTTAGAATCACAGACTGGTTTGGGTTGGAAAGGACCTTAAGCTCATCCAGATCTAATCCTCCTGCCATGAGCAGGGATGCCTCACACTAAACCATGTCACCCAAGGCTCTGTCCAGCCTGGCCTTGAGCACTGACAGGGATGGAGCATTCACCCCTTCTTTGAGCAACCTGTGCCAGCGCCTCACCACCCTCACAGTAAAGAACTTCTTCCTTATCTCTAACCTGAACTCCCCTTGTTTCAGTTTGAACCCATCACTCTTTGTCCTGTTGCTATGGTCCCTTATGAAGAGCCCCTCTCCAGGATCCTTGTAGCCCCCTTCAGATACCGGAAGACTGCTCTGAGGTCTCCGCTTTTCTCATCCAGGCTGAACAGCCCCAACTTTCTTCTACCCACTTAGAACAGTATGGGAGGGAAAGAGTT